CAGTCCCGGGCCGCTTAGCCATCCCAATCCGCCCCTGTTCCTTGCTCAGACTACACAACTGCTGTCCAGTCATATTAAACTTTGACAGGTCAAATGCCTGAAGGTCAAACTCATGTACAATCAAACCGTAACAAATTAAATACACACATTGTTACAATATAACAAGTATACTCAATTGTAAGAAGCTTTGGTAGTTATCTTGCAAGAAGCTTCGAAGCACTACTTATAATATTCGTTTCAGCCCTATTACAGAATTGAGGAAAAAAAACAGACAATTGTACGTTTCACAAAACTTCATATAATAATGACCACGGTTTTTACCAGTACCTGATGATGTCTTTACCTTGTCTTTGTTTTTCCTCATTTCTATGATAAAAGTTTATCTACAAAAGGTTTGTTTGCTTCTCAACAGCTGATTTTGAACTAGTGCATTGTCCTTGTATGTTAAGCCTTTTGACTGTTAACACATACTACTAAATCTTTGGTCACAAAAACTAAATATCATTCACTAAGTCATTTATAGATGTGTTATTACTACCAAAACTTTTTGTATTTCAATGGAGACTGTGTAGTTTATTATTAAGCGATACATCTGCTTGACACTGGAACTCCAATGTATTACTGGTTTATCTCTCTCTATTAAAGCGGCCAAGGATTGACTATTTCTTTGAAATGTCCAACTCAACCAAAAATGATCTGAAAACTATTTCTGTAATAGCATTGGTGTAAAGTTATATCTTAAAACATAAGGTAATAAACTATTATTTAAAAATAAGTTTTGAATTAGCTATACATTTGATTTAAATATCTCTTAAAAACTGATCAGTTGGTTCTTCATGAGGAGTAGTGGTAAAGGATAAATGTATCAAAAGATTATTACACAAAAAGTGGTTCCATTACTGGTATTAGTAAACCATGTGTTTTATTCAGTGTAATTACTTACAACTGTAAAAGGTTTCCTACTCTTTTGATGTTTATCTGTTTCTAAGTTTTACATTTAAAGCTCACTGTTATTTTATCACAGACTATAAAGTTTGCTTGTTATTTAAGGACTAATTAGTGTCAACCAGTATGCCTTAAGCTGTTTTTATAATTAAAATAAGTAAGCTCTTCTTCTGTTATTTAGGCAGCTTCAAACATAACATAGAGTTTAGCTTTTCTGAGAGATTTTGTTAACACTAATAAACAAAAATTGCCATGTAACTGTTGCAGCTCCAAACATATGAAGTAGCCTAACTTTTATTATTGCTTTTTAAATTGTTATTAATAACTTGGTAAAAGCAGCTTTTTCTGCTTAGTACCATAATACAAACAACAGCAATTCCACACTAATGAAATTTAACCTGCTTTAAATATATATATGTATATATTATAAACTATATAAATATTACATTCTCTATTATTTTGAAGAAGGATTACTTATATTTCTTATTGTTAGTTCTAATCCAACAGAAAGGGACTGGTAATTAGATCTTGAAAGTCTTAGGTAGCATAAGAAAGTCAAGTCAAACATATAGTGTTTGTCTGAAATATTACTAAATAAAATTTTACTTTAGATATGTCCTAAACTAAGGGCTGGATGTTGCGACCTACCCTTAACACTAGGCCCACCTAAGTTTGAGTGGAGAAAAGGTTACAAATTACAAAAAAAGAAAAAAACATTTCCCATGCCCACAAAACTAAAGGTGCATGATTTTGCTATATTGAGAAAATATCATGGATTTTACATGATACTTAAAAAGAAATATATATATATACATATTAATATATATACACACACACAAACAAATGAAGATGGTGTCTGAGAAGTTACAACATAGTGGGCCACCTCTAACTACACTGATGTAGTGCTGCCAGTTTCTGTAATCGTTGTTGACACAGCTGAGAAACTTTCTTAAGATCGTGCTAAAAGAATGAGGGAAGAAAACATTACATGAACTGTGTGAAAATACATACTATGTATATATATATATATATATATCTACACATGAATTTAACTCCAGTCTTTACTTTAAATTTAAACTTACTGGCATTGCTTGGCACTAATTTTGAAGAAAAATTAGATTTATCAGAAAAAAAAAACATATTTGTTGTTGATTAAATTAGTTTTAATACACTAAAAAAAGTTGGAAACATTTCTTGAATTTAGTATCAAACTACAACTTATCTTTTCTTTCAAAACAAACAAAATCCAGCATGAAGACATCTGAATCTATTTATCTGTAAATTTCAAGTCTGTAAGTAGATTAAATCTTTTTAAAACTTAATATTTTAATGTTAAAAGAGCAAACCACAGTAATTAATTAAATACTTGCAACAATAGGGTATAAGTAATGTCATTAAGCCAACAAACAACTCTTTTTTTTTTCCATTTTGTTCAAATATTGAAGTCATAATATTTTGCATGTATGTTTGTTTGTAACACCATTGTGTAGAGATATGAAATAATTTGAACAGTTAAGTTGGATTTTTTGTACTATAATGACAATGATGTTATTTCACACAGATTTTTATCCAAGCAAAAACGTTAATATTCCACAGTTCACTTTAATTCTAAGAAATATGAGCAACTCAATATTCTTTGAAATGTTTATTAATTATATATGACAGTTAAACATTAAAAACAATCATAACAGTTTAAACACACTAGATAAAAAATATTATTGCCACTATGATGCAATAGTTCCCAAGTCTTAAAAGTTCTTATGCTGGGCATGACCTAGTGATCTATGTGCTAGGCTGTGGATCAGAAGATTCAAGGTTTGAGTCATGATATGAAGCTGTGTACACTTCACACAATCATAAGTCAACTCCTTTAATAGTTAAAAGTAGCCACAGAAGTGATGGGAGCTCTCCCTCTGATCAGCAGTTCTGGATTATGGGTCTTTAAGGGTCTCTTGTGTTGCATATCATATTGTTCTGTTTGAAATCCCAATACATAAGAGATCTTCCCTAGTTATCCCCATTTCTTCAGTTTTTATACCCGATAAGCCTTTTTGTACTGCATTTCATCCATGAAATAATTTTTAAACTTGTCTGGTGTAAATTATATTGTTTTCATTTATACAATTCAGCCAAACCCTACACATTTACAGGTGTATTCAAGACAATAAAGATAAACTATAATGTCACGAAGGATCCGTAAGCTCTGTTGATTTCCAGTTGGAAACAATATGAGCTGAAAGTGTTTCCACTTTAGTAAGGCTCTCTTTGAGTGGTAAAACAGGCACAATGTATTAAATAACAGTTACAGTAGCTGGAAAAAACAAGGAATTATTTAGCTCACTGCATATGCTTAGAACAAGCTAAGAAAAATGTATTGATTCATATTTGTATCATTAAAATTACATAACTTTTCCATACTTTTTCAAGGATCAATTTTAAAAATTAAAAGACCTTTACATCAATTGTGTATATACTTCGTTGTTGTAATAAAACTAACATTCTTTTAAATGTCACGAGAGCATGATTTCTTCACGATAGAGCATCTCTTGACAGAATTTGAAAATATCTGCATTTCATTATTATTTTACAATTAGCTAATAACAGCACTTAAAATCAGGTTATAAACAGAAAACTATGACATGCAATACTAAATTGATGAGTAAATCTGACTTTTTAATATACAGTAAAGAAAACTTTTTTCTATTATTATTATTAAGAACATTATTAGGAGTTATAACTGCTTTTAAAATGGATATGGCAAGAATACAAGGGTTATTTGTCTATTTTTTTTAATTTCTGTTCCCATGAAAAGAATAAAATGAGTTGCATGAATCTTCTATCATATGAGGATGAATTGAATACTTTTGTGCCATATGAAACAACATTAGGTCAAACAAGTGATCCAATAACTAGTTAGGATGAAGTCAACACACATAAAGTACAAAACGGTTTAATGTAAGCCTAGATTGCCATACTAGATGTGTATATAATAACTACAAAAAAAGCAGATAAAGATATGTGGCACTTTATTTTCGAGAGTTGGTCTTTAATTAAAGTTCATTACGTACATTCTATTGAACTAAATTCCTAGAATTTCAGTCTGGTTTGTATGCATGCATGTATTAAAATTCTGTATGAAACTTGCATAACTATAACGACTAGTACCTGAAGAATGTGTAGTCCTTTTGTTGAAAAGGCTAGCAATTCCTTTACACCATCTCCTATGATGTCCAAGTAAGCCAAGGACAAAAGAGGATGAGAAAATGATCTATGAAAAATAAGCTTATAGCATCCTGGGCCGTTGTCTTTTTTCTCCAACTTGTAAACGAGTAATTCCTGAGAGAAATGGTAACAGAAAACATCAAAAAAATGCTGGAAATTGACTGCATTTTATAAGTAAAAATGAAAAGTGCATATTATACTGTTTATAACATAACGTTTAAGGACAATAAGGAATCTGTTGTTCCACCTAGGCTGTCTCATTCACTAAAGTATATACACTACTTGCAAAAATTAAAGGACATGTTTTGATATGTTTCAAAGTTTGAAGAATAAAACACAGAGATACATTCAATATTGATGAAACTTGTTTATTACAGTAGCAAGCAAGTTGAAAATTAATTTACAAGTAACAAAAAAGGAAAACTAATGAAATATGCCAATATTTGGCTGCACAAATATCAAATAAAAAATAAGTTATTAAGATGAATAAATTTAACAAAATGAGTCTTTTGGTAGCTGATAGGTCCTCCTCTATAATTTAGGACTTTTCTGCACCTGTTCCCCATACAATTGGTGGCATTTTGGATGACTAGCTGGGGTAGCAGAATCCACCCCTAGATGGAGGTAGTCATAGGAGCAGGTTGTCTATCTCAAACATGCTCAATTGGATTGAGGTCCAATGAGTTAGTATGCCAGTCTAGTACCTGTATTCCTTCATCTGGAAAAAATTGTTGCATGATCCTGGCAACATGAGGACAGGCATTATCCTGCTTATACACAAACTCATCTCTGACAGCACCAGCAAAAGAGAAAACAATGGGTAACAGGATCTCATCCATGTAACATCTTGCTGTCTGGGATCCTTTATCCGCCACATAGAAGTCTGTATGCCCCTTGATACAAATGCCACCCCAGATCATGATAGAGTCACTCTCAAAGGCATCATAGTGGATAATGTTACAAACAGAATATTCCTCTCCTATACACAGAACCTGCTCTCATAAGTGAACACTTCATAGGAACATTGCTGATGGATCCAGGTGTCATGTTCCTGGGCAAATGCCAGCCATGCTATACGGTACCTAGTGGTTAGTATAGGAGCTCTAACTAGTATTTTGGACCTGAACCAAGCCTCATAGAGCCTGTTCTTGACCACTGAACATAATACACACACTCCAGTGGCTTACTGAAGCTTATTTCTGAGCCCCTAGTGCTGCTGGTAGGACCAAGTTCTAAGGACCAAGTTCTGCAGATATTTATCGTCTGTTGTACCTGTAGCCCTTCTGCAACCATGACCTGGCCTTCTGGTTTATTCTCCTGTGGCCTAGTATCTATGCAACAATTTACTAACCAAAAACTGTGACACTCCTATGGCTTGTACCACCTCAGTCTGGACGCAACCCCATGACCTTTGCCACCTCAGTCTGGATGCAACCCCATGACCTTTGCCATCTCAGTCTGGGTGTGGCCCTACTGTAGCAATGGAGCAGTTCTCAAAACTTCAAGTTCAGTTAACTGGTTTCTAACAGCTTACACAATCTTTGCAAAAGCCAATGCCAACAAAAAACATCCACAAATCTAACATTATATCAACAGTAAACATCCTCCCTAATAAATTAAAACTAGCCTTTTGCTTTGCAGAATTTTGGTCATTTCTCATATATAAGGAACCACTGGTGCATAAACTTGCAAGCCCTAAGTAGGTTTAATGTAATCCTCTACAATAAACCCACTAAATTTGAAAAACATTTATAAACTAAAAACATATAAATTTAAACAAACCTCAATTATCCATTAATTTGTGTGAATAGTGTACACACACAGATATATATATATATATATATATAACTGAGAGTCAGCCCTTATCATTCACATGTTTATCAAGCCATCTCTTAAATACCCCTAAGGCATCTGAAAGCAACCCACTCCAAAGGGCAACTAATCTGTTAGACAAATAAAACTGTCTATGCTAAATATCCCTGCCAAAATTTATACTTGTGTGCTATTAATCCTACCAATCTCATTATTAAGTACAAAAAAAAGATACAGTTACACTATCAGTCCCCTTAGCAATCTTATACACCTCAATCAAATCCCTTCTGATTCTTCTTTTCTCAATAGAAGACAGTTTCAGAGATCTTAACCTATCCTATAACATTAACCATTTTCTTTCTTCCATCCAGACATTTTTCTATCAAATGAGCCAGCTGATCTCCCACACCTTTATAGATCTCTTTTTTAACAAGCCTTTTATGTGTCACCTTGTCAAATGCTTTCTGAAAATCCAAATAGATAAAACATACACCCTTACCCTCATCTACATAAGCAGTAACTGCTTCAAGGAATATCAGAGGCGAGCTTTTTCCCATGGTGAAACCATGCTGACTGTAGAAAATAATTTTAAACTTTGTTAAATAACTTTGCAAAGCATCTTATATCAGACTTTCATACACTTTTTCCACTTGCACCTATTCAAGGACTTACAAAGAAAGTTAAAAGTGACTCTCATATTTAATTGTTAACCGCATTCAAAACTTGGGGGGAATATTAAGTGGCTAAGAACCTTATCATTCTTTAAACTTCCAAAATATTTTTTAACACATTCAGAATTAATATGATAATCATATTTGCTGGTTTCCATCAAGCAACTGTTCTTCCTGTATCATCCCTGAAAGGCCTTACTGCCATCCTAACATTTTACTTACCCTTAATGTATTCAAACAAATCCTTGCTGTTAATTTTTACATTTTTAGCCAAACTTTTATCATATACCCCTTTTTTTGATGTCCTAAATTCCTGTCTGACCAACTTTCTTGATCTTCTATAATCCTCCAAGTCTTCCATCATACCAGTCAATTTAAATTAATTAAATTTATGATGCTTTTTTCTAATTTTATCAATTATACCTTTTTCTTTCTATAAGACACATGTCTATCTTGAATATTTAATTTTTTCTTGTTTGAGCAGTGTCTCCTAGTAACTCAGCTGCCCAATTCACAATAGATGAATCTTGTCAAATCCTCTCAAAATATGCTTTTTTTTAAATTAGTACCCAAAATTTTATTATTTCTGATCTATTTATGCAGTAAAACATGAAATCTATTTGGGAAATGGTCAATTACACCCAGATGTTCTCACAATATCCACCCTATCAATCATTTATATATTAGAAGTTAACAATAAATCTAAAATAGCCTTATAATTAGTAGGTTCCCTGTTCAATTGCTGAAGAAAACCATTTTGAACAGCTTCTAAAAACCTGTCTCATAACTATGACCTCATTGACACTATCTGAGTACAGTGGACAGTTATAATATACACAAACAACAACAAAAAATTTGTTAACTGTAAGAAATTAAGTATTAGACAAGCACTACAAATGTCTGAGGTGATCAGGCTCATGAGCAGTGTAGCAGTCACCTTTGTGAATGATTGTGACCTTCAAAACCTGTACACCATGCAGAGTTGTAACTGTTTAAACTGGTTTCAAATACCAATTATGTTAACAACCTTCAAACCTGTATTTTTTTAAAATACACAAGCTAATTATTACAGTTGCACAGATGAAAAAAAATTTATGAACTTAAAATTTAGGGAATACAAACAGCTAAACATGAACTTAGTAAGTTAATACAATGTCACAGATAACACAACAGGCAACAACCCAATAAATATGCTAGATTTGATTCTGACCTGTCCATAAGTTCCAAGTAGTATTTCATTTTTTCCATCCATATTAATGTCAGCTACAATCCCACATGTCACACAGTCATAATAATCGCTCTCTGGTAGAATTAACTGTTGAGTAAGATCATTCTCATAAGCATTCCTGTCAATAGAGAGACCTTAATGTATACAAGTGTCGATGAATGCTGAAAATGTGGTTGAACATTATGTATATTATAACATACAAGTGAGTTTATTTTTGTAATCTTTTCTTTATTTCAATTACAGGTTTTCATAAGCTAAAATACCTAAAAATTATAGTTGTAACAAAATTGCTTTATATGATAATATACTTGGTATATATCTACAAAGTTTTACCTTTTTAAGCATAGTGATTCGATCAGTATTTAATCTTCAAAAATTGACAAAATATCTATGAAAAAAAAAACTGATGAACCACCACATGAATATTTTTACAGTAAGTGTAATTACAAAAAACATTTGATGTCCAAAACAAAATATATTTGCTTTAAATTCAAAACTATTATTTTATAATTTACTGATATTTCACAGCATAGACTGGAAAATTTTGAAGATGTCTGACTCAATAAGTTTACCTGTCAAATTGCAAGATTGTTTCTGTAAAAGTTTTATAAAAGAACCACTTACCAGAGTACTTTTTCTATCTTGATTTTATAGTTTTAATCAAACCGAGGTTACAACATCTAATTCAAATGTACATTTTAAACATTTAGAAATATAAAGAAGTAATACGACAAAATTTTTCATTCCAAAAAACTATTGTACAAAATATTGATTCCATTATCGCATAGAAAATCAGGTAGATCTTATAACTTCAACATATACTATGCAGAATGTTAGGTCTGACTCAAGACATAGAGAAAAAGGTTAGTAAATGTCTGCTAAAATAATTCACATTTCTTAAGAAATTATGCCAACTTAAAATGAAAATATTCAAACTACATTTCAAGAAAACAACACATGTATCAGAACTTTAAATTGAGAGTCAGAAGGTTTCATGCATGTACAAGTTTGAGATAACACTATATGGAAAGAGGTAAAAAAAGACCGATTATACGTCGCATTAACATGATAAAAAATGCAACTTTCTCTTTATTACTTCAATTCTGTTCCATATATACTCAGAAATCATGTTTTCCAGATTTTAAATATATCCATCTACTTAATTATTATCACTCTGATCCTAGAAAAACAAAGATAGTACAACACTTGCTATCTGGCAAAAAACATAATGATACTGTATAACCTATGACCTCTTTGCAGTAATCACTGAAGTATTAGAATTTTTTCTCATTCCATCATCAGGAGGAAAAAACTTTATATGAATAAAAAACATCATAAGCTTTTACAGAAGTTTAGAAAGAACACACTAAAATAAATAACATGTTTACATCTTACAGTTCAGGCTGCAAGATATGTAAAAACAAAAATGCATGCCAAAAAATAACTCAATCAAACAACTTAAAGCTTACCATAATAGCCAGAATATGTGGCATGTGACAAAAGCCAGACATTAGTTTTCTTATTTCAGTTCTTCTTATCTAGCTTGAGTTAGTTTTAATCAAACAGGAGCCTTGTTCATGTAACTAGGTTAAAGACTTGACAGTGTTACATATTGTTATACTGTTATTATTTCATGTCTAGTAATTTCTGATAAACAGTTTAATGAGCAAATTATTCAGCAATCAAAGTAGATCTTCATACACAAGGTGTGAAATTATCAAGAATCCATAACTCTCAGTTTTTACCTCAGACTCTTAAGCATTTACCAAGAGGGGAGTCTATCATACTTGCAAAAAGTCTAACAATAACATTGTGTTGACTTGACAATAAAATATCATGAGTAGTTTTTTTTTTCTTAAGGAACACTTTTCATTAGTTTACATGTATTCTAATTGTACATAACTCATGAATAATACCTTAATATATTGCTTACTTATTACATGTTACAAATGTAACCAGTGTTAATTAGTGTAAGATCACTTTATTAAAATAAAGTTACAACAAATTATTATTCTTTATTTGCTCAAAGAAAACCACCTAATCATTTATTATTTCTTGCTCTCCTGGTTTTTCAAAATATTCCCAACTTACCAGTAAACAACTGATGGTTCTAGAGTACTTATAACCAGAAGATGAATTTCTGGTAACTGGAATGTAGTTTCTTTATCACCTCTCAGTTTCTTCAGCATATCTAGATGTGATGAAAATTGTGAACGAATAGAGTAAAATAAAAACTTTTAGAATTAAAAAAAGAATTGACTCAAAAATAGCATTGTTTAAGTACAGAAACAATACTTTTTTACTAGAGAAAAAGTCATTTTTTAAAATACAAACCATCTTGTTATCATGATATGTCTTTGATAACGTTGCAAAGTAAAACTACTGTTATTTAAAACAAAAATACAATTCTTGTCATGAAAAGGTACATTTGTTCCTTTACTTTTATAATATTATTTTACAAAATATTGTATTTGTTAAATAGTAGTCACCTTTAAAATGTTTTTTCAATACTATTTATCAGAATTTGTTTAAAATACTTTGGTCATTTTGAACTTTCATCTAAAACACCTACCTGCTTACAAAGCATGTATTTTTTTAGCCTTACTGGTCTCTTTCAGAAGCCAGTACAAGTGATAAGTAATCAAGTAATTTTTAAAATCTTCTGTTCATTTTGATCTTTCACCTAACACACCTCCCTGACTACAAAGCATGCATTTTTTAAGCCTGTCTGGTCTCTTTCAGAAACCAGTACGAGTGATAAATAATCAAGTAATTTTTAAACAGACCTAACAGGATTTAACTCTAATCTATGTCTGTTGATGTAGTTTCACATTTCCATGGCTAATAATACTGAATTCTTATATAGTTATTTTACCATATTATTAAACATTTTCTGAAACATCTCACAAATAAAGAATAAGATGGAGCTTTTTTTAACAACTTTACTCAGAACTAAGACTAAAGACTTTAACTAAGTTAAAGTAACTAAGACTAAAGAGCATCTACACTCACCATCTGTGATAAAAGATGGAGGAACACAAAAATTTTTCTCAGTAAAAAGTTTGACCTGTGATATCGGACTGTCATGCTGAGCACACATCATTGATAAAACTTCTGGGCCTATGAGACATAATAGAAACACTAAAAACTTGGACTTCAAAGTTTAAAAATATCAAAACATCATTCAAAATACTACAATTATGCACTCTACTTCTGGCTGTACAATTACAAAAAATAGTACCTATCTTCATGGTACAGACATCTAATCCTTCAGACACCTGCTTCTTAGAATGAAGCTTCTTTGTGTTACATGTCCATTGGAAAATGACTTCATAAATGTAAGTACTTTTGAGAATTTATATTTTTCAGTACATTTTTTATTTGGTTACATTGTTCATATCTCTCTCTATATGCTAAAAAAAACAAAATACCTGCATGTACTAAACTTAAAATATTAAAATTCAAACAATGGTTATTTTTAGTCTGTTTGAAGAAATACTAACACTTTACAAAAATGTATCAATAGAAATAAATGCATGGAGCATATTTGTGAAAAGGTTTGCCATTATAAAAAGTATTTATATTTGTTAATGATTACTAATATACAATTCATCTAGTTTGTAGAACCAAACTTAACAGAATATTGAGTATCGCTAGAAGCCTGTAATCAAAAACACTGAACAATTTATTACATGGATTTTTACAAGTTCAAAATGCACGTGAAAGTGGCAATATACTAAAGCTTGAGGAAGATGCTAATACTAACCATTGCTATTCACATTAACAATGCACATTCGTATATAGCCGTCCTCACAACCAACAGCTGTCAGCCTCTTTTTGTTCTCTTCAATATAACAGGTATTGATTGCATGAACTCTAGAGAAGATCACAGTAAGTCTCATTTTTATTGTCAATTCTTTCCTGATTTAATGGTTTGGATCTCCATATTTTCCATGTATTTCACCAATCACAGATATATACTATGCAATATGTTGGAATAAAAAATAACAATGAAAGGACAAAGATGCAAAAAACATATTAGAAAAATAAATTATAATTTTTAGATAAAACTTTACAAAAGACTCAAGGATGAATGATCAGGGGACTATTTCACAACAAGAATTATAGAATGAAGCTTAGTAAGAATTAAGCCTAGTGTACTTTATAATACAGAGTAAAATTTCCTTAACTCAATCATTCCATTATATTTTTTCCAATTCTGAAAATCAAGTCAAATGATTTTTATACAAATGTTTCACAATGTACAGTGTATCTGAAAAGTCTGGAACCATACGTGATTTGAATATTTTCTTAATTTCATATATACGACTGATTATGGTGTTATCAAAGCATGAGAAGGTTGAGTTAATTCTACTGTTAATCCAAACTTGTTTCAAATTACAAGGACAGCATGTGGAGCACATTCTGTAAAATTCGTTGAAGTGCTTATGGTTCCAGACTTTTCAGACACCCTGTATGATTATTTTATTATAGAAAATAACACATACAAAGTCACTGACAACGTGTTAGACAATCACAAACCAAGGCCAGACTAATCTAGTAGCTAGCTTCAAATAAAGACATCAGTGCCCATTTAAACTTTTAGATTAAAAAATACATAAGCACTGCTCCCCTTGATCCACATCAAAAATAAAATTAATGGAAGGTGTTAATCACACCAACAATAAGTTCAGCATTTGTCCATGACAAAGACAAATCCATTAAAGCTTTATTATTTTTATAATGTGCTTTACCAACCTGTTTGATCTTATGCGTTTTTCAGCTGTGGCGTAGCAGTTCAAGTACAAACTTTTAGCTCATAGCACCGTCATCTCTTGATTAATTTGAAATCTAATTACAGTTCTGGACTCAGGAGGTCAAACCCTTTCAATTTATGTATATGATCATGCCCAAGGTTTCTTAGATTAATTTGCTCTAATCCTGCTTAAAAGAATTTCAATTTGATGGTAGGCTGGTAGAGATCCTGATGAGTAATAAAATTGAATCAGGCATATGCGAGCCCCATGCTTGATATTGCTGGTGCACATAAATATAGCTAATAAAAAGGAAAAAAAAGGTCTCATAGATTAATTTCCTAATCTTGCCTAAAAGAATTTCAAGTGCTATGGCTATTGAGGATTCCCTCTTGTTTAACTTTCAAGTCACTTATTTTCTAAACATTTTTACTTTATTGTAGTGTTTCTGCAGCTTGGGAAATTAATCATAAAAATTGTTGTGTGAGGATAGTTTTCTAACTTACATGCTGGGTAAATCATCAAACTCCGGGAAGAAGTCTGTTGTGGTCTGTTCAAAAAAACACTGCTGGGAGTGATCCTGGGTTAAGAAAACGTTCAAAATTTACAGTTAAAATGCTTATACAAGTATGCTAAAAATACCTCAAGTTAATTTTCATAAAAACTAATTATCCTTTAATAACATCACTAAATGTTTTACTCTCTGTACTGCAATTCACTGAAGTTTCTAGTTGAAAAGACATAGCACTTTAAAAAGTTTATCACGATTATTTTGCAGGCAGAGAGTCCAATTTTAGGTAACTATTCACAACTTTTTATAGCCAAGTCACTACTATAAGAACTTATTTTTTTTGGTCATCTCATTTGATATCATATTCACTTTCATATAGTAATTATAAACAACAACAATTTACATATATAATGCTGCAAGTCACTTCCACGGACAGTTTAATTTCATTTTTTGTTTATTCATTATTTTGGGTAGCTCAAACTGGTTGTCATGATTTTACTAATTACCACATATTTCATTATAAAGGCTTTAAAATTCATAACTTCCATTGATTTAACAACAAATTTTTAAAAACACACTTTTTTGTATTAAATGCTAACTTATACTTCAGATTTACTTTGGAAAGGTTTTCAATTCTTACCTCTCTATACAAATGGACCTTGCAATCACTCCCACTGAGAAGACATACAATTTCTGTTCCTTCACTGGTGTGTAGTCTAAAAAATATATACGAGATTAATTTTACATGCATAAGAAAATTTATAAATTTTTAATAAATCATTTATTTGTTTCTTAAAGCATTTTAACCAAAAATAAAACATACATTTTAAGACATATAACATTTAATTTAAAGTAACTGTTATATGTCTTAAAATTAATTCTGATGTCCTGATGTCTCAAAGTTACAACTGCAATATTTTAGTCAAGATAGCATCTTTAAAATTCGAAGTTCACATCGCAAATAAAGCTTTAAACAGTTACTAATTGTAAAAGTTAAAATGTAATTTTGTAAACCAATTTTACAAATTAGCATTTTTTATAAAAACATTTTTATGGCTGACAATGGCATATGGTGAACAATGTCATACTGTAATCTTGAGCTTTTTTATTACAACAGGTTTTAAAAAATTCTATATTGTTTAAAATATGTCAATTATTCTGTCTAATTATGTTGCAGTGTTCTGATGATGTAAACATTTAGTCATAGTACCGTATTTTCCTCAGATATCTGATAGATGTTCCAAAAAAAAGGAGTGGTTTAATCTATACAAGTATATTTTGAGTTAAAGTTAAAGTCAAGGAGATTTAGTAAGCCAAAACACTTCATAAGCTCCAGCTTGGAGTAAGTTTCTAGTGAGCTAGATTACTATTTTAATGAACAAATATCATATAGAGTTTAATTTAAGAATAAGACTAGAAGTTTGCTTTTAAAGACAAAGTGAAACAGAGTCCTAGTTTGAAATATAACATCTTTAAATATACAAAAAACAAATTTAATTCTTAGCATATATTTAACGGACAACAAGGGACCCCTTGGTCCATGGTGACTGTTCTATTCATTTCAATACCCATCTGCCTATATACAAACCCCGACTCCCCAAGAACTCATCAAATCTTCTCTTGAATTCTCCCAATCCTATTACACCTACCAAATCTGAAATCAATCTATCCCAAAGGCTGACCATCCTGTTCAACAAATAAAAATATAATTTGCAGAGAACTTTTAGTTTGTCAAATTTTAAATCATTATCCCCTAGTCCAACCACTCTTATCATTAAACACAAAAATAGATGATGCACCAATACTATTCCCTTTACAATTTCAAGCACTTCAATTAATCCCCTCTAATAATTCTGAAGACCTTAAACTGTCCTCTTCCATTCCAGAAATCATCCTAGTAACCTCCTCTGAACCACTTCGAACAACTCAAATGTCTTTTATTAAAGTAAGTAGCCCAACACTAAATACAATACTCTTTAAGGCCTAACCAGAGATCTGTACAAAGAACAGATAACCTCCAGTGATTTACATTAAACATCCCTATTAATACAACCAAAGGTCCTATTTGTTTTCCCACTGGCAACAAAACATTGCCTGGAATGTTTTAAGAAATAAACTGACCAAACACCAACATCCTTTTTCCATAACACTATTAGTTTCTTTACAAAGCACCTTTAGTCAGTTCTCTCCAAAACTTTTACCACCACAGATATAAGAATCATTGACCTATAATTACCTGGACAATGCCACCTCTCATAAAAATAGGTATAACATTAACTAGCTTCCAGTCTTCTGGCACTTACCCACTGCTCAAAGACACATAAATATGGGCTTTATTATACAATTCTTCACCTCTGTTTATAACCTTCAAAACTTGTCGGATTTGATAAGGTGGAGGGGCCAGTGAGGGGATTATACATATAGAATGTGTCTGCATAGATATATCGTGGGCATGCCAATAAAAGATTAGCAACTTAGTGAGGGAACTGCACTACATCCAGAACAGGTATGCTCTTCACCTAGAATCTTAATCATGCATTGCAGGTGGAATCTGACGTGACATATCATCACCATTGGCCAGGTCCTGACCAGGTAGCCTAGGTCCCACTGCTTGGAGTTGAAATTATAGGGCCATGGCCCCTAAATCCCATGTTGGTGGCTAAGGCATTTGGACTGCAAAAATATATATAGTTGTGAACAGATCCCAACCCGTAGCTATAGAGTGATGCATTCCTAGCCACCGGAATCACAAGAAGGTAAGCAACACACAAGTGGACAAACCCTCTCCTCAACCTGAAGAACTCTGAAAGGCAACACCCCAACTCAGAATGACAGTATCCTGTATGCCATACTTAACCAGAGGAAACAGAACCAACATGGTCTGGAATTATGAACACTCATTCTGTGTGGCTAAGGTAAATTCCACTTGTCCTTGAAATAATGGGGAGGACATGGAATAAACTGTACTCAACCAAGGACCAATGATGGGACCATTGTATGTTCAAAATTATGAAGAGACAATGGACCCTCTTCCGTGAACAAAGTACTGAACCAATATTGATCAAAAAGAAGGGCATGTTCAACCCAACCGGATAGCTGAGCATCAAATCTGAACTGGTATTACGAGTAGGCTCCTGCATAGGCTGGTGCTACTTTTACCTACATCTGAAAAAAAAGAACTTCCTCCTCTTCTCCAAGAGTAGAGGAAAGTCACCTGAACACTCTGGAGGAATAGTATCTGTCCACCACCCCAGTGACTGTAAACCAAGAGTGGTAAGGGTAACTGGGGGTGGGTGGGGGTGGAGTAATGTGCAATAGGGAGCCCTGAGAATCAGTGCATCAGGTGAACCAAGTTCCCCAAACTTTTAAAAGCAAACTAACCCCAATTTAAGCAATCCACTGATTGGCAAGGACAGGCAGAATTCCCTTATCTTTTACTCAAGGTACTGAATACCAGAATGATAGTAGTTGAGTGTTCCAATTAGTGGCAAATGCATTGATCATCAGCATCCCAAACTGAAAGCAAATTGAATGGAAAACCTCTCAACAAAACATCCATTTTGTCGGGAGAACCCGGTCGGGTTGAGACAATTGATCTGCCATCAAGTTCCTCACCCCCAGAACATGGCAAACTAGTAGGATGATATGATGGAAGTAGGCCCAATATAAAAGATCCCAGTTTTGAAAGCAAAGAGACCTGAAGAAAGTGCCCCTTTGATGGGAAATGTACGACACCACTAGGGAATGAATCATGACAACTTTGCCCCTCATTAAATCCAGACTTTGATATCTCACCCTTTGAATAACAAGAAGTTCTAAAACATTGATGTGGAGGGAAGTCTCATTGTCTGTCTATATATAGGCCCTGTAATTCCCGAGCATTGAGATATGCACCCCATCCATGAAGCGAGGCATCTGCGAAAAGATGGATCTCTAGATGAGATGGCTGCAGAGGAACACCTATCATAGTACTGTTCTGATCTAATTACCACTCGAGATCTAGATGTTGATCCTGAATAAAGAGAATGGGGAATGCCCCAGTGGATCGTTGTTCATGATCAGTTTGTCTCATACAGACCACTGAAAAGATCTCACGTGCACTTGTCCCAAAGTAATGAGGGATTTGAGCGATGCTCACATCCCCAAAAGAGAAAGAAATCTGCACAGTGGGAAAAGGAGATGTAAGAGCCGGACTGCCTGTTCCATAGTGTGGAACCAGATAGGAGTTGGCTGACCCCGACTGAGATATGTGTTGAAAAAGACCACAAATGGACGATACATAGTGTTGGAGTGAGAATAGATTACTTGGCTCTGATAAGAAAGCCTGTCTTGGTTGCTTTAGAAAGCAGTGTCTGTGTATGATGTTATGCCAACTGAAGAGACAGTGCCAGCAGTAGCCAGTTGTCCATGTAATGGTGTGTGCACAGGCCCAGGGAATGGAGGTGATGAGAAAAGGCTCGTACTAATCGGCAGAACAAATATAGTGCCAATGCTTGTCCAAAGGGCAGAGCCCTGAACTGCAACACCTGACCCTTGTGCACAAAACATAGATAGTGGTGTAGTGACTCTGCTATGGGAACGTGATATCGAACTTGGTCATCCACAGTCTTGGCAAAAATTGCCAATGCAGTGTGAGGAATGACTCCATCGTGAACTTTGGAGGATCTAGGAATTGATTTGGATGAAAAAGATTGATGACTGGATGAAAATCTCCCATCTTTTTGGGCCCAACAAACAGACAGGAATAAAACCTTGAAAAAACTGGAACAACTCTCTCCATTTCCCCTGAACCAACAAATCTCTGATAGCCATGGAATTACCCATGGATCTGTGGTAGAGGTTTTCGAAATGCCCAGAAATATTTGGAGTCAAGCCCAACAGACCCCAAAGGCATACGGTAGTAACAGCCACGGCTGGTAGCATTCTGATCAAGTGGTGGAACCTCGTGGATATGGGAAGAATTTATTCTGGGTATCAATGGAACAAGGAACTGATGTTGGGGGGGGGGGCATTTGAACAGGGGCAGAACTATGACCCCCTGTAGGAACTGAGGAAAGTTGAGAAGCCAACAACAACATGGATGAATGCAGATGGGCAACATCAACCCTTGAATGCCTGCAAAAATCAAGGGTCAGAGAAAGGGGGCTTCACATAACTCTCGGAGGGTGGCAGCAGGTAGACAAACGTCCTCCAACAGCACATCTCTACCCAACAACATACCTGCTAAGAGACTAGGAAAGTGCAGAAGCTGCAATCAAACCAAGTTAGATGCTAACAATGGTCCCAACTCATCATCAAATTGATATGACGGTCACGGAGAGGCTTCAGAAAAAAGGTGTGGGGATGATATATATCTTAGGACTGTAGTTAGAGTCATACGAAGTGTAGAATATTGTGATCTATTCAGGTTGACCACAGACTTCATTCTAGAACCCCACATTTGCAGAAGTGGGTCTATTCTCTAAGAGTCTAAATATGCTTCCACCTGATGGTGGTAGACTAAACCATGTTGTTCTGACAAACATGGCGGACATGGCATAGCTGTCCCTTCTTGTACCTGAGCAGTAAATCTCCCTGCACGAACTGCAATATCAGGGAATGGAGGGAGAACTAAGTACTCGTCCTAAGACCTTTCCATCATAAAGGTGCAGACTCACAAGCAACCAGAGAACAAACATCACAAACTTGATTTACCAACTGAAGAAAAGGAGCCAGAGGCTGATCCAGAATGCCCAAGATCACCCACAAGTGCAGCCTCAGAGCCCCCTGTAGAAATACCACCGGACCGAATATATGTCTCCATCTCACTATGAATAAGGTCATAGACAGCCACAACCACGAGCGCCCCCCCCCCTGATTGTTGAGCAATACTAGATATCAGAGGTGGGGTAAAAGAGACCTGATTTGCCTCCATATTGGAAACATTAACCTGGAAATTTATATCAGCATACCAATGAAATGCTGTAATTTTTATGAAAATCAAAAAGGTAAGACAAAGAATGCACAAAATATCTCCAATGGTCATACTGTAGAGAAACCCTTTAGGAACACTTTGTCAAGAAAAAGTGACAATATTATCTGAAGTAGGTGCTTATATACAGTACCAAGATAGAGGGCTGATTGATGCAGGTGGAGAGTGTCACGAGACAGATATTACCAAGGGCATTTAAGTGGGGAATAAAAGACTGAAGCAAGTGAGAAAAAATCAGACCAATGCTTAGATGGGCAAAGGAAAATAAACCATAGCAGTCAAGTAATAACTGTAGTGTGAGTAGAGGTAAGTATGTTTTGGAATATATCTGGCGTTTTTAAACTGCCCAATTTGTCTTTAGCAGTCTTATGGCTAATATTAAATGTCCGTAAATCTATCCTATTTCCCACTAGTAATTTCTCAGGATCTGAAATACTGTTTGTATCTTTTCTACTGAAAACTGAAGGAAAATTTACCAATTCAATCATCCCATAAAATTCCTTCCTTCATCATTTCTCAAATGCTCAATTCCAATTTTAACATTTTCAGTTAATATTTCTTCATGTGCCTTTTGATTTATTTTAATATCCTTTTTAACCAACTCTCTTGATGTTCTATAATCCTGCAAAACAAAATATAATAGCAAGATACCATATGATACAACAACTTAAAAAAATCTGACGACAAAAGAAGAGTTAAGTAACTAGATACTATTAAAATGAGCAGATGTATTTTAATAAATTATCATCATAGGTTTACACTTGGCTACAATTATAAAATCATTGATAACACCGGTCATAAGGTTAAACTACCAGCATATCACTTTGAACCAGTGACTTTTAGTTAATGCTCAGGTAATCATACTTTTGTTCAAAGTTCATTTAGTGTACTTAAGTAGTGATTCCTGCAGTTTCTAATGGTTTTAAGAATAAATCACCACCACAACTCTGGTATTTCCTTTACTTTTTATATTAATGAACTAAAAATGACCCAAAATGTAGCTTACTGTGCATGTGTTAACTGGTAAGGAATAAAATCAAGTTCTAGACTCTGGCACCCCTCTGGAATGAATAAATCAATATAAACATCAAGATGTATAAAAAATACTTTCTTTTAACTCAATAACTATGGTAAAACTGTAGATTTACTTCTGTTAAAAGATATAATACAGGTTTTGAAACATATTACCTTTTCTGATTACTAATAAACTAATAATCAAGTCTATCTCGTGTAGCAATGGTGAGAAAAAATAATGTCATATGTTTCCATCTGAAAAAATTTTAAGTAGCAAAACAAAGAATAGTTTTATTAAATTAATAAACAAAGCTAGATCACACTGTACAGAAACTATAACATGAATATAATGTGTTCAATCATAAGACAGGTACATGCATCCACTAACAGTCCTTGTAAATCTTCAAGCTCCAAACAAAGAAAGGTAAATGCATTGGTAACCAAACAATGTAGAATTAAATTTTAAATTTCTTTGATATTAAATTTATACATATATAAAATTTTTTATATAAAACTACAAACATAAGTAACACAAAATATTATGTCATAAAGAAATTAATGTTTCTGTTTTTTTTAGATGAAAAAACCTGAACAACTTATATATCAAAACAAGACATTTATTTAATGAAATAGTCTCCATTCTTATCGACGATGCTTTTCCATGTTACAATCAGGTTGTTAATACCCTGATTAAAGAAATCACTTGGCTTTTAAGCAAAAAACATGTCAATGTCTTCTTTAACACCTTCCACATTTGCATACGTTTTCCCATTAAGAAACGAAAAAGATGGTAATCTGATGGTGCCATATCTGGAGAATATGGTGAGTGGTGGAGAACTTCCCAATCCAACTCCATAATCTTGTGTTGCGTCAAACGTGCCACATGTGGACATGCATTGTCATGGAGAAGAAGAACACCATTCCAATTGACGAGTGAAGAGCATTTCTGATGAAGGGCTTGATTTAAACGTTCCAGTTGTTAACTGTGGATCTCTGCATTGACAGTTCGCTGTGGATTGAGGAGTTCAAAATGAATTACTCCTTTGATGTCCCACCAAATGCAAAGCATCACTTTCTGCGGATGGAGTCCAGGTTTTGGGGTCAAAAGTGGTTTTTGTCTGGGACTGAGCCATTGTTCTTGGTGTTTAATATTCACATAGAGAATCCATTTTTCATCACCAGTGACAAATCTGTCCAAAAAAAATGGTTCACGCTCATTACGAGCCACAAGAGACGAAACAACATTCACACGTTGGAAACCATGATCATCTGAGAGTTCGCGAGGCACCCAAACACCTTCTTTATGGAGATTTCCCATATTCCTTACATGTTTATATATTGTTTCATAAGAGACATGCAATTTCAGGGCCATTTCACGAGAGTGTTACCTTGGTTTAGACTCAACAAGTGTCTTCAGATCATCAATATCAATTCCAACATGTCAGCCCCTGCCATCACAGTTTTTAAG